TTTAACCAATCATGCTCAACAGAATTGGCCCAGGGATCCATGAAATCACCGACCATCACACCGTTCTCTATAAAGCTTAAAAATACACTGTCTCAAAAATGAAACCTTGGAACTTCACTTCCAAGAATTTGGAAACGTGGCTTTTTCTATCACACAACTATGAGGGAATAAGCAAATGACTGAAGAACATCAAAAGGAGGAAGGAAAAACAGTAAAAATTTTACCGACAGTAAAAATAATTCTAAAAAACAAGCTTAAGCAAATGCTTATGGTTCTTTTGTCTTGCTTCTAAAGATGTAACACTTTCGGAATCTTCTTGGGATTTTCACTCCTTTTCTCTCACAAAACAAAAACAAACACAAATAAACCACCTATAATCTATGCTTTAATTTGGAGGGAGATCAAGAGTATAGAATGAATAATTATTTTACATAGATATTTCCCTGTGAAAGACAACATTCTGATGTATTTATTCAAATTGAAGTGTTTTCTGAAAACAGCATTATTATCTCCTGGTGTTAATATCTTACGATGCTTTTAATTGCATGTAACTCAGTCACATTCATGATCCTTTGACAGCCGGCCAACACAGGCACTTGGTTTTTCAAAGAACAATGTGTGCTCTGATAATCTTTATACTGACTTATTCATCTGATAGAAAATGAAAATATATACCTGTATCTTTTTGTGAGTTTCCTGTTGCTTTTTCTGATCTGGAGAAACTATCCTGAGTTAACCAATAAATTGGCAATTTTCTAGCTCAGAAATACTCCCCTGGGGTGATTTGCGTTAAATTAGCATTGCTGGTAAATGCTTTCAAGAAGACTATACAATTATGGCCAAATGAACACATTCCTCATACAATTTCAGGATTAATATTAGTCTCCTAACAACCTAGAAACCAAGATCATAATGACTGGCTGCCATTTCCTTCCATTGTCCAGGTAACTGGCCCTCAGTATATGACCAATTTGAAACCTGGGAATCTTGGGAGCAAGCATCAGGTCTGCTGTTGGGAAATTGAATTCAAGTGCAGCCCTGCTCCCTGAACACTCATATTCTTCTTTCCTCTTTGTGCTATTTGTTCATCTCTATTGTACAGAGCTATCGTTTGTGCACACATTCTGTGTTAGATTTTCTACCCGATTGAGTTTGAAAAACCAAAGCTTAAGTACTAAATGTTTCCCTAAGGCCTGAATGGACTTAAAAGGACATAGGTGCAAAAAGAAAAGAAAGGAAAATAGGGGGAGAAAACACGGCTTGTTAAGTTGTTGCAATAATCTCATGCTGAGAATAAAGACCTTCAGAGTTAAGAGAATGAAAAACACTCTTCTAAATAGATTGCTTGCTTTTGTTGCACAGGTGGTAAGGCCTGGAAATATAAGATTCGGGGAACAGCAGGGCAGCCTGCTAGCATTTCATTAAGCTTAGAGAATAGTAGAATTGTGGAGTGGTTTCTTCCCACTTTACAAGGGACACAGGCTTCTTGACAACTTGGACTTCAGAGTGTTAGTTTGCTGGTATATCTTCTACCAGGAAGTACTCTGGCGAAAGAGTACCTCTCCCCACATTTTGCAGAGATTTACACCCTCTTCCTTTATTAAAATAAAGCCTTTCCCAGGGAGCATGGATTTGTGGTTATCGTTGTTTTCAATTTTTCATCATTTCGTTACTCTCATGCCTTTAATATAAAGTCAGTACCATCTGCTAGATAACACAACTTTAGAGAACATGCTACGTCTGAACACTGCCACTTAAAGTTACACAAGGGTAATTGCCATGATGTTGGGCAATCCCCTTGACTTAGAAACTAAAGCACCCCTCTTAATAGATGAATAGTAACTGACAACCTTCTTCAAGGCAAAGAAAACAATCGAGAGAGAATGAAAATGCATCCCATGGAATGGGAGAAAATATTTGCAAACCACATATCTGACAAGGAATTAATTTCCAAAATATATAAGGAATATCCACAACTCAATAGCAAAAAACCTCCAAAACCAAACAACAATGACAACAAAACACTTAAAAAATGGACAAAGGATTTGAATAGACATTTCTCTGAAGAAGACTTACAAATGACCAAATATATAAAAAGATGCTCAACACCATTAATTATCAGGGAAGTACAAATCAAAACTACAATGAGATATTTGCTGTATATATTTGTAGTTGCTATATAGCTTTCTTTTTTTTTTTAAGATTTTATTTTATTTATCAGAGAGAGAGAGCACAAGCAGGGAGAGCTGCAGGAAGAGGGAGAAGCAGCCTCCGCGCTAAGCAAGGAGCCCAAGGCGGGACTCGATCCCAGGACCCTGGGATCATGACCTGAGCTGAAGGCAGACACTTAACCGACTGAGCCACCCAGGCATCCCAGCTACATAGCTTTCTAAGGTCAGGTCAGGGAAATGAGTCTATGTAACACCATCTTTTGAGAACTATGCCAAGTCTCTTCTAGGCCTTCCCCTTAGGAGGGCAAAGATCCACTACCTCTGGCTTCCATTGGCTCTATACATAGTAAAGCTAGCTCTCAGTGGTTGCACTATAGGACCTAGAGGTACAGACAAAAGTTGTTCACATTTTTCTGGGGAGTTTATCAGTAGACTTTCCTGTGGATCACAGGGGATCAAGTGTAAATTATGTCTTCCCAATGGCCCCACAAGAGATATGCAAGTAAAAACTAAAAGAGATCTTGAGTTGCCTTCATTATTAATATTCAAAGTAAACATTCAAATTTCTAATAGTTTATGACCCAAGAATTACGGCAGTTTAGAGAAAGCCCTTAACCAACTTAAGTGATGACATTCTTTCCCAAATTTCCAGCTAGGTACATTTTACTTACCCTGCTGTGTTAGGATAGTAGGTATTAGATGAATCAGTGACTTCATAACCAAGTAAATGACACTGATAACTAGAGATGAAAGGAGCTATTTAAGAAAGATGACTATTCTAGAAGGACTAGACCACACATATTCTATATGAAGAAACAGAATCTATTTTCTAATCTTTTTGAATGCTTTTATAGTTTTATAATTAAAAAAAAAAAAGAAAGCTTCTGGGGCGCCTGGGTGGCTCAGTTAGTTAAGCGTCCGAATCTTGGTTTCGACTCAAGTCATGATCTCAGGGTTGTCAGATCGAGCCCCGTGCACGTTGCGCTTGGAGCCTGCTTAAGATGATCTCTTTCTCTTTCCCTCTGCCTCTCCACACCCCCGCTTACACACTCACTTGCTCTCTCAAAAAAAAAAAAAGGAGAGAGAGAGAGAGAAAGAAAAAGAGAGCCCCACCTTCTGTAAAATTGCTACAAATGTATGTTGTTGGTAAATAAAAGACAAATTGTATGTCTACGTTCTCATTTGCGTGTCCTTGAACAAAATATATGGATCATGAAAATCAGTTTGGGAAATAATGTTTCCCAACTTGCTTTGTGATGCAGATCTGAGAATATTTGCTCATTCTGATTTGTAAGATCAAGAAAGCATTTACTCTACCTCTATTGCCTTTCCATTTCTTTCGGTCTTGTTATCCTTTCACTTGGTTCTGTCCTCCAGATTCTGTCTTCGGTTTTCTTCTTTTCTCAAAAAATAGTGTTTTTTTTTTCTTTTTTTATCTCATGTGTTCCTCTAGTTTCAACTAGCACGTCAAGCTTTATAACTACAAATTTAGATGTTTCACACCTAACCTCCTTTTAAGTTCTTTATTCGTATAACCACTTGCTGATCAAACTTCTTAGCCTAATAACGCCAGCTGTATCTCAAATCAAGCATGTCCTAAAAAATTAAACCCACCATCTTCTCTCTCTTTCCCCAAATGTGATTCTCTTTTTATGTCCTATAGTCTCTCCCACTGTCCAGGCTAGAAACTTGAAGGCCACCCTGATTCATTAACTCTTAATTATACATCCATTTAGGAACCAGTTTCTTCTAAATCTGTAACTGAAAATTCACTGAAATGCAGCTCTTTTTCTAGTTCCCTACTCCCACTTATGTCTGAGTTCACCAACTTTCTCGTAAACTATCACAAGAGTTTCTGCCCGGTTATGCTGTTTGCAATGCCATTTGCTTCTAGTCAGGCTTTCACAGAGCTAGCCAACTGATCTTCCTAAACACAGAAATGATCAGGCCAATTCTGGGGACAGAAGATAGTAAAACCCAAAAGCACAGTATAAAAGGCTCTCTGCTATCTGCTTCAATGCCCCCCTTCTACCATCATCCGCCCATTCCCCTGATTGTCACCTTATATTCCTTTGTCACAATTGGTTTATCTATGTTACCAAATCGTGCATTCAGTATGCCATTGCTGGTGGTAGGTTATCTGTAGATGTGGCGGACTAAGAAGGGATACAAAATTTCTGGGAGTCTACTTCCCCTCTCCTTGAACTTTGAAGCAGGCAGCAAAAGTGATGTTGTGCCAATCTCTACGCTCAGGACCTAAGAGACTTCCACTTCCCGTCTCTTGGAACACAGGCTTTTGAAACGCAGTGGCCATGCTGTGAGAAAGCCCAAGCAGTTGTGCTGAAAGGACTTTAGCTGGCAGCCCTGATTGGTCTACCAACCAACAAATGGCCAACAAATTGCCAAGCCACCCAGTTGAAGCCACACTGAAGAGAAATAAGCTGTCCCTGTCAAGCCCTGCTCAAATTTCAGAGTCATGAGCAAAATCAACCATTATTGTTGTTCCAAGCTGAGTTTGGGGGTGTTTTGTTATGTGGCAATACCTGAAACAGTATGAAATGCCTTTCCATCTTTTTCTGCCTGATTAATTTCTTCTCATTCCTAAAGATACAACAACTCAAAGTTTATCTCATTTAAGAGTACAAAGACTTCCCCAATCTGCTGAGGCAAAATCAATTACTTTCTTCTGTTCTTCTCCAGCATCTGGTGGTGATTAACGTTCACCTCCCAAAAAATATTGTAAATTCCTTGTGAGTAGGATCTATGGGTATTGATCTCTGTAACCTAGTGACTAAAACAACTGAGTTACTTGAACATTCAATGTGGTAATTCCCATACCGTACTAATTTCTACTTTTGGTTTTATTTTAGTTCAACAACCGCTTGTTGAGCACTGCATGCCTGGCAATATGCTATTTGATAATAATATGTAATTCGCATTGTGAATAGGCTGTAGATTCCTGCCCTCAAGAAGCAGATATATCACGAGTTATCCCAAATCACCTTCACTGTGCTAGATGGCACAGATTTCTGGGATTCAGCCAAGTGCCTGCCTAAGGGCTCAAATAGTTTCAGAGATCTTCTTGGACGAAAATATTGGTCCTTTCTGCTGGCCTCCACGATTTCCAGGAAGAGCAGACGGTGACTGGCCAAATACCTGCCAAACAAAAATAACAACAACAAAACTCTAATTGGATGCTTAAAAGTTTCACAAGAAAATTAAAAGTCTGTGTCCTAAATGTCTAGCCTCTAAATTCTTCAATCAACAACACAGAGTATTTAAGACCCAAGACTCTTAACTCAGAAATGAGTCATGAAGAGCCTATGACCCAAAATATGCCAAAGGCTCATTTCATACATGTGAGATTTGAGAAAGTGCAATGGACATGTTCTCAAATTCTCTCTGGTCTGTGTTAAGTGAGTGGTCCTGAAAGCACTGTCCAAGGGATAGCATGCATCAATTAAGATTTAATAATATGCCCCCGTTTATGAAAGAAAAAGAAAAATACAATGATTTGAATAAAGTTGCACTTTTGTAAAATCATTATGCATCATTTTATGTATATAGACTGTTAGCCCTTTCGGGTACAGGGACTTTGTCTTATTTGTCTATAAACTTCAATACCTAGCAGTGTCTGCTAGTAGGTGCTCAACAAAAGAAGAAAATCGGTTAACTACTTTGGACTAGTAACTATATAAGGAGCAATAATTTTACCTTCAGTTCAGTGTCAGTAAAAATGTTATCCCTGTTCAGAAAATTGTGTGTTTCCTCTTATCTGACAAATAGCACCACAAATACCAACAGTTTTCACTTGTCTTAGCTGTCAGGAAACTCTAGGCTAAATTTTGTGTGCTACCGTAACTTTTGCCAGGGTATCAAAAGCACAGAATTATGAGGAAATAGCAGTGTATTCTTATTCATTTATCAAAGCATGCATAGGCAAATGCTGTTAGCCTGACTCTAGTCGTCAAATGTACTTTCACCATTATTTTCACCTAAAATAATCTATGCTTCCCAGTGACATTCTTGCCCCCCCTTTTCCATAAACTCAGGCCAATGATATTTTATCATATGTATATTCCAACTTAATCTGGCCTTAGGAATAGAATCCAGAATAGAGCTAAGAGCTCTAAAAGACAATGTGTTAAATATTTCTAGGAAGAAAGTGTTCATTGCAAACGTCCAAATCTTTTTTCAGGACCAGATGGACTATATGAACAAGTTGTATAGCTTACCTATGTCCCACACTATAGGGACATGGGATGGGTTGTAACAGAGTGGCTTCCTCAAAACAATTTAAAAACTTGACACCAGGAGTTTCCTGTATGGTACTCGCATGCTGTTTTTCCTAGGAGAAAGAACAGTTCCAGCAGAAACAAGTAAGATCATGGTCTCCAAGAGGCAGACAGATGGTGGTGCTGGTCTTCACAACATTAATCTCACAAAAGCATAAGGCTCAAAATAATTCTGATGTTAGCAGCTGTATATAATTCAGGACTTGTGGTAGCTCACCGATAAGGAATGATAATCTCTTCTCCCTTATAAAAGGGATAAATCTGAGTTTGTTTGCACAGACTAAGGTTACAGAGAAGGCCTGAAGTATAGAGGGCTCATAAGCTTATTTGGTTACAGATATGATCTTTAACTTTCCCTAGCCCGAGAAGCCAAAAATAAACATTTCATAACTTTTAATGTGTGGTTAGCAAATATAGCTGGCCCATGGTCATGTCCCCACAGCCTGGAGACCTGGACAGAGTCAGCTTAGCTACATGCCTGGGGCCTCCTGCTTAGAGCCTTCCCCTGTAGTTTCAAAAGAACAGGGTCTTTTTATCCGCTTAGCTCAGTTGCTATAAACACTTGCTGTATGTTAAATGACTTCTCAGGTCCATCCAATCCGATTTGCACATCATTAGTCTGTGTAGGATGAAATGGATGCCTTTGGATATTTAGTTTTGTTAAATACTGAGCCCTTTGTGAGTAAAAAGCCCTTCATATAAAATATTACATCAGGCTTGGCTAACATTCCTGCTTCATGAATCACTGGTACCTCCAAGTTGTCCTTGAAATTTCAAATTCACTGTAGATGCTTCCAGACACGTACAGTACTTCTTTTTTTTTGTTTGTTTATTTATTTATGTTTTGATTTGGATGCCAACCCTGCTGTGAAAGAGCAAAATTTAGCATCAGAGCAAATGCCTTTCACGTATATCAAAAGGGAAAAGAAAAGCAGCATTACAGACCCGAGAGGAAAACACTAGTCTAAATGCCAGAAAAATCCATCATAGATCCGTGCTTTACCCTGACTTACGGCATATTATTCAGAGACCATCACTCACCTTTTCTATTTCTCATCGGTGATGGCCCTATTAATACCTGCTACCAGCCTCTACTTTTTTACAGGCATTCAAGTACGAGTTAAAAACAAACAAAAAAAGAATAAGCAAAAGCTTAGTATTTCACAGGTACTTGTAAATTTTTCACCTTGATTTTGACAGAGCACACGCAATAATTGCTTATAATTACAAACAGGACAGCTGATCGCTTTTTAAAACTACATTCTAATTAGAGCAACCAGCCGTCAGCGCTTGGAAAGCTGCTACGATGACATTAGCACAAAGAGGTCACCTTTTCCATGATGTTGCTGCTCTGGGATCTACCTTCGCTGAGATGTCGCGGAGGAAATGAATTGCCACTGCAGCAGCTGCACAACAGCTAAGAAGCTCGACAGGGCAAATGGCGTCAGTCATTTCTTGGGAATACCCCGATATCATTTTCCTCACCGAGTGTTCCAGCTGCTATCACATTCTGGTCATCGGGCCAGACACATTCAGAATGCTCCCCACATTCCAGTTCCTACCATTCTGCCCGCAGTGGTGCCGGAGGCAGTGTGTATCTGAGAAATTTCAGATGCTGTAGATGCTAGCGCATGATGGTTCTGTTTTGCACCAGTAACATTTCCAAAACACTTAGGTCAGAATTTTTTTTTTTAATGAGGTGAGTTTTTGTTAACATGAAAGAAAAGGGAGGTTCTTTGATATTTATTGAATGTATTTTATGGTAGGAGTTTAAGATTCATGTGTGTCTCATTTAAAACTCCCAAACAGCCCTGTAAAAGAGGGTTTCATCACCTTGGCCTTACAAATACAGAAACAGAATCTCAACGGGGGCCTTGTTAATTTCTTTCTCCCAGAAAATATTTTCAAGAACTTGCTGAAAATGTGACAAGAGTGGGTAATCACCATTCAATTGAAAATTACCAAAACTGTGGCAGACTATGTTTTAATCCAAAGCATTGTTGAGAAACAAGAAATGGGAGACATTCCTACATGATAGAAAGTCAATGGGATTGTGTCTCAGAAAATCAAAACCAGAAAACACATAGAGGTGAGAACTGCTGCAGAGCTAGATGTGGTTGGAAGATCTTCAGAGCCAGAATCAATAGATGCAGGACGTAACAGTTGGTCCTGAATAAAGCAGCAGGTGAGTGCCCAGAAGGGAGCTAGGGGTAAATCCTGCAGTGTGTTCCATAGCTTGCCCACAAACTGGAAGCAACCTAAATAGAAATATCATCCATAGACAGGGAAAGGGGAAATTCCAAATATCACGATGACCGCATAACTAAGAATCACTACACTCAACACTGAAGAGACCATAATACTCCATCAAATAATTATAAATTCAATATGATCTCAGTCACATTCATAATAGGACTTCTATGGAGCTAGACAAGGCTATCTGGGAGAGACAACTGGGATGACTTGCCATAACAAACATCAAAACCTACTGTGAAGCTATGAGGATGCAAGCGGTTAATTGGCACAGGAATAGAACAGACAAGTAGATGAAGGGAACAAACCGGAGAGTCCAGAAGAGGCAAATGTGCATGTGTGCACATTTGTGTGTGTATTAATATGGGAGAGAAAATGGAAATTTAAATTAGCAGGAAAAAGTTGGATTATTTAAAAGGTGCAACTAGCCCTTTAAGATTATAGTAGAACCCTACTGAACACCCTACATAAAATAAATTACCAAATGATTAAAGTGTGAATGTAAGTAGCATTTAAAAAAATTTTTAAATAGAATAATGGTTTTTTAATCTTGAGTAATGAGAAAGGGCCTCCCACAAACTAAAGAAAATAATTAACAGATAAACTATATAAAAATCTTCAAATTTCTTTTTGGCGAAGATCATAATAACAATAGCAATAATAAAAGACAATACTGAGAGAAAATATTTGCAAAAAAGTTTAAGAAACAAGTAGTAATGACCATTGTACAGAGAGATCTCCCACACAACTAGGAAAAGAGGCAATGATCTTATAAGAAATTAGATAAAAGGGGTGCCCGGGTGGCTCAGTCAGTTGAGCGACCGACTCTTGGTTTCAGCTCTGGTCATGATCTCCTGGGTTGTGGGGCTGAGCCCCACGTTGGGCTCCATGCTCAGTGGGGAGTCTGCTTGAAGATACTCTCTCACCCTCTCCTGTGGCCCCTCCCCTCTCTCAAATAAATAAGTAAATCTTAAAAAAATTAGACAAAAGATACAAGAATTCACAGAAAGAAAAACTGCCTTCTACATATATATATGAAATTATGCTAAACCTTAGTAGCAATGAGGGGAATTGAAACAAACAGTATCACTATAGTTTTTACTCCTCAGGTTATATAAACTTTTGAAGCTTGACAGTATTTATTTTGGGGAGGATATGAAAGAACAGGCACTTTCATAACCCACTGGTGAAAATTTGAAGTCACTAACCATTTTCAGAGGGTATTTTTGTCAATATCTATCAAAACTTAACATTTCTGTAAGCCACATGCATGAATTTTACTTCTATATATATTTAGCCTATAGAATTCATATTTGTTAAAAGATTCATGTGTAAGAAAGTTCATTGTTGTATTCTTCTAAAGCAAATAAACCAAATCAATCAAATTGCTGTCAGGATAATTAAATAAGTCATGGCATGTCAGTTTTAGGGAATACATTGCACTTATGAATAATGTTGTATATCTATATACAATGACACTAAAGAGTTACCAAGACAAACTCTTAAAACAATAATCCATCTCATAATGTGTAAATGTTTGTGGTAAGATCTCGTTAAATTTTTAAAAATGTATGTACATGAGGGGGTCCTGGGTGGCTCAGTCAGTTAAGCATCCAACTCTTGATTTCAGCTCGGGTCCTGAGATCTAGCCCCACAGGGTGCTTCATACTGAGCGTGGAGCCTGCTTAAGATTCTCTCTCTCCCTCTCTCCATCGGTGCACTCTCTGTCTCTAAAAAAAACAAACAAAACATGTACATGTGTATATAATGTATAAAAAGGAGTGTGTGTATAAATGTCAGAAACAGTGGACTATTTTGAATTAAGTTTTTGATGGTAGTAAATGGCTGGATTTGAGAAGGGAAATATCTGTTATAAGGCATGCAGCAAAATTTTAAGTATCATCTCTCTGTGTATTATTATAAATTAAGGTATACAAGCTTTGTCCAACAGGCCTAAATTTGCCTTTGAATATCAGCTAATAAAAATTCTCAAATTTTATAGGCTTCACCTAGCAAAAAAATTTCTCTCTCCCTATTTCTCATAGAAATTTCATAAAAAGAAATTGCAACATTTTTTGCAAGATTTTATTTATTTTTGAGAGACAGAAAGAGTGAGTTGGGGAAAAGCAGAGGGAAAGGGACAAGCAGACTCCACACTGAGCATGGAGCCCAATAAGGGGCTTGATCTCAGGACCCTGAGATCATGACCTGAGCCAAAATCAAGAGTCAGACACTTAACTGAGCCACCCAGGTGCCCCAGAAATTACGACATTTTTACACCTAGGTGATCAATAATTTTGTTTAAAACGTAACATCCGCAGTTCGACTAGTAATCCAATTATGTGGAATCACTTTTTTATTTTCTACTTTCAAACCAAGAGAGCAAAATATTTAAATAAAAAAGTAAACATTGGTGTAGAAGGAAAAAAAGACTCTAAAAACAACTATGGAAATGTCTCTTTTTCAGTTTAACCACAGTTTTTTACTAGACCTTAAATCATTTTAGCACTCATTCCACGGATAAAATTTCTAATTTTGCTTCAGTTACTTGGATATTTGAGACCAAGTGAATTTGAAGTATGAATAACAAAAATAATTACTGTAGACTTTCTATCTTGGCTGAGAAAACCATCATGTTCATATTTGGCAAGATTTCCTAACATAATCTAATATATAGCTAGCTGATGCATTTGACACTTGTCTGTAGAGATAATCTATTCACCGGTGTTATAAAATAATATTAAAGATGGGGGAGTCTTACAGTTTTCTTTAAAAAATTAAAGATGGAGGGGTGCTTGGGTGGCTCAGTCAGTTAAGCATCTGCCTTCAGCTCAGGTCATGATTCCCGGGTCCTGGGATCGAGCCCCACGTCGGGCTCCCTGCTCCGCGGGAAGCCTGCTTCTCCCTCTCCCACTCCCCCTGCTTGTGTTCCTGCTCTCGCTGTCTCTCTCTCTGTCAAATAAATAAATAATCTTTAAAAAAATTTAAAAATGGAGTAATCTCTTTATTTTGTTGTAAGTCTTCAGAACTAAAAATAGTTTAAAATAAGCTCTTCTATGGTTTCCGTATCAGCACTCAGTTGCTAAATAATAAGTGGGAGCAAAACAGCAGAGAATGTCCTTCTCTTCCTTTATAAAATCTCTTCAAGAGAAAGATTGTTTTTCTTTAATTCTAACCAGAAGCCATAAAATCCTCTTTTTGTTTGTGTGTATTAGCTTTAAGGATCTCCACAATGCTCATATAATGTCTGGAATTAGGAGACATGTGGGAGCTTAAATAGAATTTGTCAAATTATTTCTCTTCTTACATTTAGATTTTTGAGCTCCTTGTGAAGGATAAAATTCATTTCAACATTACTCACTGAATATTAGTCAGGTTTGTGTGTGGAAGGTAGAAGTGGGAAGATTGTTTTGGTTAAACTAAGCTACACTTTGGAGTTTGGAATGAGGCTAACTGATCTTTGCAAGGATATGGACAGAGTTCACTGCATTCAGACTACATAGTTCAGACTTATCAGTCTGAAATTTTCATGGTTATTTTGCAAGAACATATTTTTTACAGGTGATTTTTTTTAATGGTCCGG